GAAGAAAAGACAACACATGCTGCTGGTACATCCGAGACAACGGCGAACCCCACAACAGAAGAAAAGACAACAAATGCTGCTGGTACATCCGATACAACGGAGAACCCCAACCCTACAACAGAGGAAAAGACAACGCATGCTGCCGGTTCATCCGAGACAACGGAGAACCCCAACCCCACAACAGAAGAAAAGACAACGCATGCTGCTGGGACATCCGAGACAACGGAGAATCCCAACCCCACAACAGAGGAAAAGACCACGCTTGCTGCTGGGACATCGGAGACAACTGGGAACCCCAACCCCACAACAGAGGAAAAGAAAACGGATGCTGCCGGTACATCTGAGAAGCCTACAACTGGTAAGCCCACGTACCTTCTTTATGCCGCTTCAAATTTAAAATGTCGGTTTAATGATTCTTACCTTGAAAAAGCCGCTTTTCTGACTTTTACATTTCTAGTATGTGTTTATTAATATACATCGTTATTTTTTCAGGTGCCGCCATTTCGACTGAGCAGACCACTGCTCCTGGCGATGTTACGACTTCCGGTGTCAATATTTTGCTCTTCAGCTCTAACCTGTATCTAATTTTCTGTGTTCTCCATGGACTTTCTTATCTGATATGACGCATTTGATACTGCCATCAAACTACTCACAATCACAATAATAAACCTGTAGAATGCTCTCGCACAGTTTCGTCTTCGTAGTTTCTTATTATAACTTCCATCGTGTTAAGAACAATCGTCAGATATGGTCACTATAGGAATAATGGCTATATTGCGTTGACTAGAAAAATGACGAAGCTAATTGGCCGAGGTTGGTGTGGTTCTATTTAAACTCTACACCCTACATTTGTTTATCTTGAATGATTTATTTCCCTACCACCTACCTAAAGCGTCCGACTTTTCACTTCCTACGCCACACGATAAGTCATCAAAGACTAAAGTGGTTTTCACAAGGTCTGCCGTATTTTCCACAGGGGCGTGGAATTCCGCGAGGTTTTGTTTATCGTGCTATTTGAATTGTGCCGTACCTAACACACACTGCACCTATTCTGATCCCTGTTTGCAATAGTAAGCGCCTATAGCCTTTTGACGGTCAGCGAGCCAGGTTTCCTTTCCGCACAACCACTCTCTATGCCAACTGTAAGGAGTTAGTTAGACTGTCAGTTGACATCTATTTCAAGTTACATGTTTTCGCGATACTAGCGCATACGTAAATAACAACATCGTGTTCATCAACCCCTGAATAGGTAGAGTAAGCAAGTGTTGAGGCCGAATTCGATGTATGCTGAAGTTTCCAAAACGTGCCCGTTTCCATCGTCAGAGCGTACAGCTTTCTCTTACACTAGCCTCGAATTAATGCGCTAGCCTTAAGTTGTAGCCCTGCTCGATGCAAGTGCGTTCGTTCACCCATTGGTTGGCTCCATTCTCTCCATTGTCATTGGCGTTGCGTTAGTATGGTGGTTGACTTTACCCTCGTTTCGCAACACTCTCTGCCTCGGCATATCTGGGCTAATTGCCGAAGCCGTTTTGCAGACGCTAGAGCAGGTGATATTCAATTATCAGAACCCCCCAAATTCTGGCCTAGATATGTTGACGAAACAGTTGCCGTAATCAAAAGAAGCGACGTTTCGTCTTAAAAGATACTACTTCGCTCCATCTTGCCGGACATTCAGTTTATGATGAAAAAGGTGTTCAATAGCCCTTCCTCGACGTTCTAGTCACAGGGCTGGTGGACAGGAAGATAAGGACGACCGTGTACTGTAAAGCTATTAACATTATGCGAATCCTTCATTGCGGCAGTAACCACCCCGTCGATCACAGGTGATTGGCATTTGTCTTTCTTCTGACATAAAAATAGCGGTCAACAGCCGTCTTTAATGGCGAACCGGAAGTTCTCCATTTTTATTATGTTGTGCAATATAATTTAGGTTAAAGATCCCTTTTAAAAACTTCTAATAACCACTACTATATGTCTCTGTAGTACTAAGGTAAACATTAAATAAAAGAAAACTACACCTCAGAGCCTTCTATTCGCAGAACTTGGTGGTCTATTCGTTAATTTTACTTCTAGAGCGATTGTGCAAATTTTATTCTGGGAAACATTAATTGACAGATACATTTATAGATTGTGTTTTTGTGTTTAGGTCACCCAGGGGTCATTGCCGTCATAACTAAAATAAAAAATAATAAAGAACGTATGTGCAAACGCATGAACTTATTGTCGACAAGGATGCAGATCGACGAGAATGAGCAGACAGTGAAACATATCCTTGTACAATTTTAGGATGATATAACACTGAATGTGATTTGTGGGGTCGGAGGTGGACCTGAATATCCATAGGCTCTCTCATATTTGCAGACGACATTCATTAAGGCTACTTGGCCTTTGCCCACTGAGCAGGGTGTGAACTTATAAAAGCATCTACCTCTTTGCTGATTTAATATGATTTTTGTCAGCAACTGACCATGTAAGGGTCGCTCAGCATTCAGAGGTATGGGTTTTCTCCTAGTAGATCGAAGGTTCTAATTTGGAGTGTGTTATACAACGTGTTTACGCGCAGGTAAATCATGCGCATTTGTTTCGACTTGGGTGATGTCACTGATGCTCGGCTTCGGCGTAGGCGTCAGTTCGATGTGCATTTATATCCACATAAACGTTTGCCTGGTGTCACATTAGGGGAATTTTGTTTGGACGTCAGCAGACACCTCAAGTTTCTACTTGATTTGCAACGGATTTCAGTCAGGCTGACCGGTCGATAGTTGTTCGTTGAGACTCGGCTTCCCCCATTGTAGAGTGGCGTAATCCTCGCGGATTTTCAGTCTGCTGGTAGGCATCCGGTCTCGAGGAATGGTTGGAAGAGCGTACAGAGTGGTTTTGCCAACTCACTGGCGAGCTTTTCAATATCTTGGCCGGTACCTCATCGGGACCTGGTTACTTAGATTCCTTTAACCTGAAGAGTTCCTTAAGAACAACAGGCTCGGCAAACTGTACAGTCCCAACTATTCTATCCACGTCGGCGTCGTCGATATTGTAATCTTAGGCCGTTTCCTTTGTGAAAACTGACCAAAAAAAGTTCGAAAGATGATCAGCTTTTGCTTCATCTTCTACCAGGTCCCTACCCTCAGCGGTCGTCAGCAGAGGTATCGGATCCTTGTTTTGGTACTCTGCCTAAGGGAACTTTAAGACAGTTTGAGGTCCACTGTGGCCCTGTTTAGCAGCTTAAACAGGGTTTATCAACACCTACTATGTTAAGATGCGCAGAAAGACAAATGGAGCATTTCAAACTTCAACTTGCGACATGACACGTACTAAAATTTTAGCGAAGAGTTCAGAGCAGTTACATAACAGTTATCAAACAAAATTGAAACCTTTACTCTGAAAAGGACTATTATTTTTTACTGGACGCTGTACGGCATTTAATGAAGTAAACACGGTTCAAGTGGCTGAGGTTA